TCAAATATTATCAAAAAAAAATTTATTTAAATATGTTAAAATTTAAAAAAAGTAGATCATAACCATATTTATGATAACTACTCTGTCTAGTTTAGTCTAATTTAGATTTATTTTTTTGATAAATATTAGTTATTTTTTTAGATATATATATTATTAAGATAGAGTTAGATACAGAGCTTTTTTATCTTGTAATATATAATTTTTAAAACCTGACACAGGTTTATAATTATAACTGTCAAGTTTTTCTTTCATTATTTCTCTTTCCTCTTTTTAGTATTTGTTTTGGTATTAGCATTTTTTTCACTTCTCTACAAGAAGATGTCATCAGTTTGGCGATATCCTATTGTGGCTGGCCGCACTTAAGTGCTCTTAGAAGTAACTGAGTGACATCAAACCTAAATATTAATCTGGGCTGAGTCCGTTCTTGTTCATCAACATGATCTATATTAATAAAGGAATTGGCGAGGCAGCCAAAGTGAAAAAAAAATAAAATAAAAATAAAAATTAGAGAAATTCTATTATCACCCGCATGTAAATAGAATTTCCCTAATTTATATTATTGATTACCTTAGAACTTGTAATTTGTAATTGTCAAATGAATTTATATTGTTAATTACTTTAGATCTTTTAATTGTCAAATGAATCCGAATAATTTATTGGATAAATTTGATTGTTTATTCATTAATCTATTTTATTCAATTATCCATCAAATATTGGATATCCAATAGATAACTGGATAAATGGTTCATGGATTGGAACCAGGGTTGAAAACGGTTGTCGCTCAATTCCCCGAAAGCCATTTACCCGACAGGACATTTACCCGACATCACATAGGTTAGGTTTAGCATTTAATTAGCTGTAGGTATATATTTTTAGCAATTTGTCACCTGTGTGATGTCGGGTAAGTGGCCTGTCGGGTAAATGACTTTCGGGGAATCGTGCCGTACCGTTGAAAACACCATAGTAATTTGCCGGCCATTTACTGTGCCATTGCTTATTGTTTAAAGTGTCTTTTTTGATATATCACTATCGAATAAATTATTTTACAAGTATCTCATTTGATAAATTTATCAATTTGTAATATGCATATATATAATTGTAACTCTAGCCAATAAAATTCTAATATATCATAAATCAATAATGACACTTTTTGAATGGCCGGCAAATTACTATGGTATTTTCAACCCTGTTTGGATTTATTTTTTTTTCAACCCATTTTTAAAGACGGGAAATATTTGTTTCTGTTATATCTAAGACTTCTTTTGTTGAATCTAAGACAGGTGTTGCATCTAATACATCATCAAAGATGGGTGTTGCGTCTAAATTAGATCTAAGTTTTTTTTATTGCAATTAAAACAGGTGTTTCATCGAAGACAGGTGTTTTGTCTAAATCGAGTTCTAAGTCCTTTATTGCGATTTATAATAAATTGCATTGTTTCTTTTTTTAATAACATTAAATTAAGATTCTCAAGAATTTCACTTTTGTTGAATGTTCTTTTGGTTCAAACTCCAACATTTTTTATAAAGTCTAGCAAAATTTATCGTATTCTGATTTAAGTGAAAAAGGTTCTTATAGTGTAACAATGTTTGAATCGTATCAGGCAAAAAGCATGTAGTGTAACTTTATAAAAATAATAAAAATCGTTGGGTTTCAGATACTTTTTTTTAGCGAGATGGGTGTCAAAGGTTTAGCACCATTTATTCGTAAACAGTGTCCTCAATATTCTGTCAAACGTGGTTTAAGAGAATATTATGGACGAGTTATTGCTATCGATGCTTCGTTTCTGATGTGTCGTTTCGTGAAAGTGATGGAGGAAAATACGAAACAACCGCACATGATTGGGCTGTACAATTTTTTGAACGAAGTTTTTGAGTATTCGATCCGACCTTTGTTTGTGTTCGACGGGAATCCACCTCAAGAAAAAGGTCGTGGTGATGTGGGACCGTTAGTAAAGGAGATGAGGGATGATTGGAAACGATTTTTGCAAGAACTTGGTTTGTGTTATGTGGAAGCTCCGGGGGAGGCCGAGGCGCAATGCGCGATATTGGAGATGCGGGGTTTGGTGTATGCCGTTGTGACTGATGATCTCGATTCTATTGCGTTCGGGACTAAACGGATCTTAACGGGGTTTGGAAAGAGAGGATGTAATGAAATAAACGGTGAGAAGGTACGAGAGTTGTTCGGAGGAAGGGAAAAGTTTATCGAGGCATGCGTGCTATCTGGATGTGATTACTGTGAAGGTATGAAAGGTGTGGGTATGAAACGGGCTCTTTCCTTGGTAAGAGAGGGCAGAACGAGTCTTACCGAGGAAATGGAAATTGCTAAGTGTTTATTAACTCTGCCAAAGGTCGAAAGAAATTTAACGATTTCTTGGGCACGAAAATCAAACGAATCGATAAAACAAACATTGGAAAACTTTAATATACGAAAAAATGTAACTTCATTTATTAAACACTATGAAAACACTTTTAGTACTAGACAGTTAACTATAAATGAATATTTTTCTGTATCGAAATAAAATTAATATAAAAAAGGGTTTGAAACTCGTTCGTTATCATCTCGTAAATTTTTGAATCTTCCAAGATCTACAAAAGCAATGTTTTGAAATTCGGTCAAACCTTTCTCGCATGATGTTGTATCCTTTATAAATCATGTAATTAAAGAACTCTTTCTTCGTTCATGTAAATGTGACAGGAGTAATCTTTGGCCGATATGTAAAAGGAATCGATATAGCCTCCATCGTTTTTGATCTCATCGGTGTAGTAATTTAAAATTTCTTACGAAAGATTTGTTGTGAACATGATTCGTTTGTGTTTCGGGTTGAAGCGTGCTCTGAGGTATCATGCTAGGGGTTCAGAGAATATGACTCTCAGTTCATTTACACTGATTTGAATGTGATTGTATGCGTTCATGTTTCTTTGTTTAATATATGATATTCAGCATAAATTACTTTATAATAAAATAATTCAGAAAAATTAGAATGAATTGATTGAGAGTAACCGTGTTAATTTGTCAAAGATTGCATTTAGTATGGTTTTGTCCGAGGTATCCAATTTTAGATGTTGGCATATTTCCTTTAATAGTTGTTCCTTGTTATTCTTGGTGGAGACGTCGCCAGCGATTCTCGAATAGATCTGTTTTAATCGAACAGTGATTATCGATTAAATTACAAATCTTTTGTATGAAACCTTATACTTGTTCGGTGTATTTTGAGTTTATTCGATTTTGTAGCTTGGAGAGGAGATGGTTAACTACGAATGTATTGGGAAACGTGCATTTCGAGAAGACATCATCGTATTTGATTTCTTCAAGGATGTTGACCTGAGTGTAATAATTTGAAAACCGAGCGGTGAAACATCAAGAATATTTATTTATGAATAGTGTACAATATATATTATTACAATACCCCCTGGAATTGAATGATATTAGGATGGAGATTAATAGTGTGTAATAGTTAAACTATAAATAATATTAGACTTAGAGGATGGAAACTAGACATTAGAAAACAATGAATAATGAATCACCTGGTTAATAAATTCTTTATTCACTTTGTCACCATTAAAGCTTTCAAAGTGATCTTTTTCCCATTATAATCCGTCGAGTAAACAGTACCAGATCCACCCTATATAAATACCGGCTTATTAGATTGTGTTCATAAAGTATGAACTAATTAAAGACATTTCTCTGTTCTAATTTTTCTATATTTTTATATATAGAATATCCAAACTTAGTGAAATCATTGTCTTTTAAAAGCAACTCTTTTCACTAATCATCAAAATACAAATTTTCAGAAAAAATAAAATAACAAAAACTACAAAAACACACCAAGGCTACTAGGAAACTAAACTCAGAGCTCTAAGAAAAGAGGAAGAGGACTACAAGAAACACTCAGTTTTTTAAAAGACTTGAGTAGAAGAAGCAAAACTAGTGAAGAAATAGAAGAAGTTGTAAAAAATTGTCAATATTTTTTTGCACTTTATGAATTTTTGGAGAATTGGCCTTGACCCTGAATCATAGATCTATTTTGGTAACACAAAAATCACAACACATAATAGAAAGTAAACAAAAAAACACAACAAAAATCATGTGACGAAAGTAAACAAAGCTATTAAACATGTGCATCAAACAACAACATCTTTCAACAACAATGAAAAAACAACAAGTTATGTGAAGCAAATATTAACAGAGCATCTAGAAAAAAAAATTGAAATACCAAAAAATATAAAGATAGTATTAAAAGAGATCCAGGCCTTAATAGCAGAAATACTCAAGAAAGATATAAATAAACAGGTAGAAGAAATAATGACAGAATATACTAGACAGAAGTTCTTTTCAAAAAAATAGCCAATAAACAAATAAAAGAGCTCTATGAAGAGCTAT